GACTTGTTTCTTAATATTTGTGTTGTGCTTTCAAATGATTGTCTTTTGTCCTCGTTTTTTATTTGATGTTTAGTGATTAAAGAAATTGATCTTTTTCCACGTTAGTGCTCTCTTTTCTTGTTGATCTCCTGTTATTAGATCTTCTCATGGTTGAGGCGGCCTTTCCAATATTTGAACGTTGCAATTACTTTGGCTGATGAGGATTTTTTAATTCTTCCTTTTCCTTTTTAAATCCTTAGAAAAAGTTTTCCTTGGATTTCCTTTGTTAGACTAGTTAATTTGCCATATGAAAACAGTTTGTTCAAGTGGCATATCACATATGAGCTTTAGGTGTTGCCCTATACCGAATTTCTCATGGATGCTTGTTGAGGTTTTCTTATTATTGGTATGTTTTTTCAGTACTTAACTGGATGTGATGCTTTAATGAAGCTAATCGCCTCATTCGATTTTTTGAAATTTAATTTCTTTTGATGCTTTTTAAATCTACTTTGTTGTCCCGACTCTGGAGCATAGCAATTATCTGGAAATAATTAAAAATTACATTATATTGCAGGAAACTGATGCTATGAAGAGCAAATTGGAGGCGGCTAATAAGAGGAAGTTGATTCTCGCTGCTGAAGTTCGGTATGTAGTTTGATTTTTTGTGATAAGACTGAACCCTCGGATGTTTTTCTCACTCGGATGGCTTATTAGTCTGAAATTGCTTAATAACTTAACCCTCAGCCTCTGTTTCTTGGGAAATTTCTTGGTTTTGTTTGCTAGTCCCGATTTTGGAGTAATAATGTAATTCTATATTCATTAGTAAGAATTATTCGTGACGAGAGAAAGTTCGAAATTGCTTAATACCCTCGGCCTCTGTTTCTTGGAAAGTTTATTGGTTTCGTTTGCTAGACCCAATTTTGGAGTAATAAAGTAGTTCTATTTTCATTAGTAAGATTCATTGTCTAGGGAAAGTCCGAAATTGCTTATTAACTTAACCTCGGCCTCTGTTTCTTGGAATTTTTATTGGTTTCGTTTGGTAGTCCCAATTTTGGAGTAATAATGTAATTCTATTTTTATTAGTAAGGATCATTCGTGACTAGGGAAAGTCCGAAAATGCGTGTACGCCCATTTGCATTTAACTGTTGAGATTTTGTCATTTGGCAGCTTTAGTAGGTTTTTTTGGTCAATGACTATGGTGAGTGTTTGCTAACTGCCTAACACATGAAAAAGTAATTCTTAAGTTTTTAGCTAAAAAAACGAAGAATCTGCATGTTTAATTGCTTACTAGCCTTTGCTTCTGGTTCTGCTTCATTTAATAGGAAAGAATCCCAGGTTGCTTTATACTTACAAAATGAAACATTTTTCCAACTTCAAAACCACACTTTTTTAACTTTTATCAGTTTTCTGCATTAAACAGTGTTTGCAGTCACTCGTTAAACAGTGTTTGAACATTTTTTGTTTTACCCGATAAATCCTAATTGCAACTATTGTCCCTAATGCAGGTTTCTGCGAAAAAGATACGAACACCTCTTGAAATCAAAGAACATGGTTTCATCACAAGAACATATGCAGAAGAAAAACCCACTTAAACTAGCTAAATCCTCAAAGGAACCTGTTTTCATCACAAATGAAGCAAGTCAGCATATACTACCTAAAGTTTCTCAACCAAAAAAGAGAAAGCAATATTTAGTCGAGCAAGCTGCTCTGAGCAATGCCTTCGCTGCAACTATCGATCAATCTCATAATAAAGGAAAACAAACTACAAAACGAAGTTCGACTCCGGTTTCTAATCGGAACCAGAAAGAAAAGAAACGTAAGAAAGAAGCTGTGGCTCCAAACATGGCCTTATTGCACGGCAAAAGCCAGAAGGAAAGTATCCTTTGTGGTAATGACATGGGTTTAAGGAATCCAACTGTGACCTTCGATCTGAATGAGGATGGTTGCTCTAATGGGAAAGAAGCAGCTTTTCCTAGCCGAGCTCCGATTTTCGACTTGAATGAAATCTTGGTTGGTACTTAGTTGGACTTTTGTAGTGAAATTTCTTTCTTTCTTTTTTTTTTAGAAAAAAAAAATATTGTTTAATTTGTTTTTTTTTCTTTACTATTTTTGTAATAGACAGGAGATGAGGATTTTGGGATGAATGTTGAGGCAGCGAGGTCTGAAGAAGCAAAAAAGAGTTTAATCAGAGGTATAAACGAGGAGCAGCAAAATGATTTGAAGTTGGGTTTGTGTAGAAATTCTGGGGAAGGATCATCTCGTGTTGTGGGGAAGAGGAAAATTTCGTGGCAAGACCCACTTGCTTTGAGGGTTTGAGGCTTCGGTTTGCTTTGTACCTGTTTTAACATATATATAGGAACTGGCTGGTTTTATCTGCTATACAGAATGTTAAAATTAGAAACTATTTCGTGTGGCTAGTAAAAGAAGAATGTCAGTAGATAGTTTAATGGGACTTGTTTACTCATAAATTAGTAGCATCTTTGGCTCGTTCTGCGTACAGATAAAGCAGTTTTGATTATCAGTTTTGAGTATATGACTACAACAGTTTAATGTTTTTGGAGGTGATAATTTACAGAAGTTAACTGCCTAGCTGCCAGCAGCAGGGCTTTTGAAATTTACAAACAACCCAGTCAAGTTTGACTGTGTTAAAGAGTAATTGTAATACTTTTGTCAATATTTAAGGGATTTCTTTGAAGTGCTTTCACATACTCTTCAAAAAGTGAATGATCAATCAGTGAATGGTCAAGGAATTGTTTTTGTGAATATCAAGGAATGCTCAATCAGTGATTGCAATGTTTTTGTTAATATGCAGGAGTTGTTTTGAAGTGTTTTCTGATTAACATTTCAACAAGTGAATGGTCAATCGGTGAAACTAGTAAAGAGGCTGCAAAACCTAAACTTGTTTAGTCAAAGACTACTCAAAGTAAAAAAAAAGTAAAAAAAAAAAATGTACAGTCTCTTTGTAAATAAGCTACAATTTCAACATGCAAAGTGCAATAAGAAAAAGTGAATGCTCAACCAGTGAAACTAGCAAAGAGACTGCAAAACCTAAACTTTTTAGTACAAGACTGAGTAAAAAAATATATAAAAAAAAAATAAGAAAAAGAACAATCTCTTTGTAAATAAGATACAATTTCAACATGCAAAATGCAATTTACCAAATTAATATTTCCTTAAGTTTGTGTGATGGCACAATCTGAAACTAGTTCTTCACACTCAATTCACCATACAATGACCAATCCATGAAAACCAACAAGAGGATGACTAATTCATGACACCAAACAATCTCTTGCTGCAAAACCAGACTTCCAAACCTCCAATGTATATATCATAATGCCATAACACAAAACCCAAAAAGCAAAGGGAATCACATCATAATATTAGACTCCCTTACAAGCCGATCAAGCGGCCATAACCCTCACAAAACATCAAGCCCTTCGTCTTTTGCCTTGTTTTCAGCCACAGGATCACAAACCAAGCTCTCATCAACAGACGGTACATTTTTCCATCTTCTTCCACTCCTTCTGGTGTAAACGAGCGTGATGATTTCCTTCTGTTGTTCGGCTACTTTTCTTTCCACCGAGCCCTCATCAACAGGCGCTACATTTTCCTCATCTTCTTCAACTTCTTCACAATTAACGGCCATGATAACTTCCTTCTGTCCGCCTACTTGTCGTTCGACTGCTTTAACCCGCCTGACATGTTTCTTCCCGTTCTTATGCATATTCATGTCATCCACAGAACTGGACATTACCTGGCACAAATCACACCAAAACCTATACAAGCTGTTTTTTGATTTGTCTTCTTCTGCATTTTGATTTTCCTTTGGGGGAGATTCTGAAAGGCCCAATATCTGCTCACGGGCTTTGTCGTCTCTTTTGGCGGCCTCCCTCGATTTGTGCTTCTTTCCTGTTAAGTGCATGTTGAGACCTTGTTCACTTGTGGCGCTGACGTGGCAGAGGGAACAACTCCACTCCTCTTTAGCTTTCTTTTTCGAGACGTCGCCAGCTGGCGGAATCACGGCCTTCCTCTTTGATCCATGTACAGTTTCATTTGGTTTGGCCTACAAGACTCAGAAGCTCAAAATCAATGTTAAGGATAGATTATATTTTGCATGTGATACTGAATAGTGACACAGCACTAAATAAATTAATGTTTAGAAAATGAATGTTTGATAAATTTCCAAAGAACTCAACTTTGAATAAAAATTGTTGCGAAGGTTTTGACAATAGATACAATGGACATGATGAAGAGAAACTGTACATACACAGGGATAAGAGTTGACAAGAACTCCACGTTTGAGATCTCATTTGGATACTTTAGTCGATAATTTTTGTCGGATGACATTTTAAAACGTATATAAAAGAAAAAAAAATGACAGTAAATTGAAACTCAAAGTCATCAACTGCAATTGTTCATGGTTCAGTACAGTAATAAAATGTGATAAACTTATGTAAAGATAGGTAATTAAATTTGATTAAATAAGATAAACACGTTAACTATTTTCACATCAACGAAAAAAGATATATACTTATGATGTTAATCTTATTTATAATTATAACCTCTAACTACATATGTGATATAATATAACTATCTGTATATATAATTAAATCACTTATCATGTAAAATGATTATGTTAGACTCTTCTAAAGCCAGAGAGTTGCTTACCAACTTTGACTAAATCATCAGATCATTCTTTTCGCAGCTCATTTAAGCATCAAGGCAAAGATAACAGATTAAGTTAAGTAAGACTCTTCTTCACTTCTTGATATGATCTTAAATTAAATAACTGTGACTTAAACTATCTCCACATAAGTTAGTGTACCAAAATGAAGTACATTCAAGAGTCTTTCACTGTTTCAAATCCTTTCATCTAAATCCACTCTTCTAAACTCAAAGGTCACTCCCAAATACAAAAAACCACTAGCAAAGCAACACTTGCGACATTACACGTGAATTAAAAGTGTTACTTCATTCGCTACAAAGGAAGAATGTACGTATTATCAACACAAAGAGAGAGATGCTGACCGACAGAACAATCTTTGGTTTCTCTTTGTCGGGCAACGGCTTGGCGAGATGCAAAGTCCCGAAAACTCCATCCGAAACCGGGCCAAGCCTTGAAGACGATCCAAAAGGCAATGGTGGAGAAGGATGAATCATGTGGGCCCCACCACTCGTGAGACGGGTAAGACTAAGACCCATCTCTCTCTCGACCATCAGCTCCCACCGCACCTCGGCCTCGAGAGCAAGCCTTTTCTCGGCCATTATCTCCTCTCTTATCCTCTGCTTCTCAATCTCCCTCCAAATCGACCCCGGCAGCCCTGGAGTAGAGAGAGAAAGAGGGTAAGAGAGAGGATGAGTGTGGGACCCACCCGGATGCTGAGTACTCGCGAATTCAACTCCCATATAGCTGCCTGAATCAGATTAAAATAACTGAGGCGAAGAGAAAGCAAATGCTTGCAATCTAACATTTACATTCTTTTTTTTTACACAAGGTATAATGCAGGGTGACATGCGTTTGGTTTCATGAGGAAAGGGTAAATTTGATTTTTCAAGTAAAAAAGAAATGTCTTTTTCCCGTTGTTGTAGATCAGGTTCGGTAGACAATCTTGTTTTGAATGTACAAGCGGATGGCTAAGATGTAGATGAGGGAATAAGAACACATACCCAAAATAGAAACTGAACTCAAATATCCATTCCTTGCTATAAATAAATAAGCAGAGCTAGTGTAAAAAGTATAAATTTTCAACGTGTAGAGATTTGACAAAACCTAGAAATTACAGTGTGCTACTAACCTTCTGATTGAGAATGAACAGGTGAAACTCGATTAATTGTCGGATACTCAGCTACCATTTTTCAATTGTAAAAAATGTGATGTTGTGCTTTGTTTTCTGAATTGTTTGAATTGAGAATTTGGAATTTGAGTTAACGTTTGTTGTGTGAGCACCAATTGTACATCGTAAAAGTACATCCTTGTTTGATATCTTTTTAATAAAAATTATCTTTTTATTAAAATTATTACTAAAATTTTATGAAAATATCGTAAAACTTGCATTGTTACTAGAATTATTTATAATATATCTTTTTAATATCGAATATTAATAAAAAAATACTATTCATTCATTTATATATTTTTATCTATGAACAAGTATTGCTAATATTCATAAACTACATAGTGTTACTTAAATTATATATATATAAAATAACTAAATAATATAAAAAAATACTTTACAAATCTAAATACTTTTAAAAGTTGTATTATTATTTTTACTTAATTTATTTTTATAAAGTTATATATATATATATTCATATTATATATATAATATGGATGTTAAATTGAAAAATGTACAAAGATAATTAATTGGATATGTTATATATGAAAAATGATAAAAAATAAATAAAAAAGCTATTAAGTTTAAAAAATATTTATAATTAACTTGATCAAGCATTTATAATTTTAAAACTCCAAAAAGCATGTTGTTGTTACTAATTTGATCACGACTAATAGAAGAGCGACATGGTAGAAGAGCAAACGAGGGCTCAAAATGCTCAAAAAACGGACATATCAGCAGCATATTTTCTTTTAGGTAATAAGCCGACCCGAGCTGGTCCTCAAATACTGACTTGGGCGACTTTTGAGCCGACCTGGACTACTTCTGAGCCGACTTGGACTACTTCCGAGCCGACCTGGACTATAGATGAGGAACAGATCCCTAAAATACCGAACAAGTCTTCAGATGTCGGAGATGGCCTCAAGTACCGAAACATGTCCTTAAAGATACTAAATAGGTCCTAAGATGCTGAACAACTGACCCAGCGTAATAAGTCGACTCGAGCTAGTTCTCAAATACCGACCTGGACTACTTACGAAGCCAACCTGGACTACTTATGGGCCGACCAAGACTGCAGATGAGGAACAAGTCCTCAAACGCCGAACATGTCCACAAATGAGGAACAGGTCCTCAAACGTCGAACATGTCTACAAATGAATAGTAACTTGTACTACATAAATGAATAGTGTCAAATGTACTACTATAAAGAGTAATGTAATTTACCCAAGAGGAGGAGATGTAAAATGGAGAAGAAAAGATTTTTCTCCCAAGGAAACAAACTGTTGACGGGCGTTTCCGGTCAACGGTTAAAAGAACAGGTAATGAAAACGTAGAACAAGAAAAGGACAAAGAAATACGGATCAATCACGATTTTATTAATAGATCATCGGCCTCTCGTACTATCCTTACGAATCCTTACAGAGATTAGTTACAGATCTAGAGAGAGAAAGTAGAGAGAGTCTAAAAGTTGGAGATTCAACAACCCAGAAATAAATGAGAGGGCTGCTATTTATAGTGCTCTTAAATGTAGCACTGTTCAGGTACTGTTCACCAGTCTTGTTATACAGTGTTCTGGCAGAGCAGTCCGGCGTTTCCCTGACAGATTAAATGCGATTTGAGGTTTTCCTAATCATTGTCTGTCAGACATTTAATGCACACATGAGGTCATTTAATGTTGGCAGACTTTATGTCTTGGCTAGTGGATGTAGACCTGTAGGCTACGACGCCCTGTCTAATCGTCAATGATTACTTTTCAAGTGGCGTTATTATATTATTATCGGACCCCGGGCCTATCTCCGGGGCAACCGCTCTGAAGATTCAGGTCGGTCCCCGAGCTCATTCTACCCCTCTGGCCCTTTGGAGTCTTATTTTAGCCCGCTCCTATTCGAGGTCGGCACCGGCACTTGAACGGCATAAATGTTGGACTCGGGAATGGATCCACGGAGATGTGACGGTCAATTTAATTCGGGATTCAGATCGGCACTTGCACGCTCGACCGGGCCTCCGATTCGGCTTTTGGAGTTGCCTTTTGTCCGGTTCTCGTTTGAGGCAAACTT